GAAACTGGGGGGTATCATCAGAATTTCTTAAAATTTAACTTGTGACTTGCCTGACCTGAGCAATAACTTGACTTGCTCTATTCTCACCACAGTGGCTTGGGACTTGCTTAAAACTTGAGGGTTAAGACTTGAGATTTGTGCATGTGTGACTTATCCCACCTTTGGTAAAAAGAGGACCTAAGCGCTGTGCTCTGATGAAGCATATTCAGAACAGGTTCGTGCAGTATAGAGATTTATTAAGAATCAGCATAAAAATCTGCATTCTGAGTTGTGGAGTTGTAGCTACGGTCTTTTTTGTAAGACCAGAGGGGAGTACATTACATCAATCTGTTGCCTGCTGGTGATAAAAGCGTACATTAGTCTTTCACTGTTCTCTGGAGGGAGAAATTATCTGACCTTGCTGTATTTCAAAGGTGAAAGAAAAGCAGTTTGACCACTTCTCCAATGCGCTGTGAAATTTAAACTGAGACCACACATTCTAACACAGTATTTTGGGATTAGAGGGTTATGATTTAAAGTTTGCTATGGGACATTCTCAATGGGCAAAGTAAAAATTAATTTAGTAAGTAGCTAAGAACAGTAATAATAATGGTAATAATAATAATAATGATAATAAAAAATAATCAAGATGTGAGTTGATGAAATATGCTTTACAGGTGAAGCTCAGGCCACTGGTTGTGGTAAAATGCTTCCCACAATGTAGACTTTTCATTCGGTGTAATTAGAGAGTTGTTGTACTCCACATTAGAGGCTTCGGTGACAAATGACTTAACGAGCTACACAGGGAGTCCTAATTATTCTGCAATTAGAAATGTAATTATGGCTTGCTCCAACGGCTTGCTTGCTAGCTGGCTAGCAGCAGAGACAGAGTGAGCATCACATTTAACCGCCAGCTAATCTGTCACACATGGAAAGGTCTCCAATCACAGTCCCAGGAGTTAAACCTGTGGACTGAAAGGGACAGGGCTAAGCCATTAAGGTCTGCAATGCACCACTGCAAGCCCACGCTGGAAAAGTCCACAAAATACAGTTTCAGATCTACCTTAAATAAGTAACAACTAGGACATCAGTTGTGAACTGTTGAGGCAGGCGGGTTGCAATTGGATTTCCCTCAGCTTTTCAGTGCTTTGCTAAACAAATGTACAATTGACACCACATGATGAAATCAGTCTGCTACAAGTCAATAAGTGGTTTGGTTCAAAATGATGCAGATAACATATACCAGATACCTTATACCTCAAAGAGAACTGAGGTCAGAGTCTGTTGCTGTTAATTTGTCCAGCAGCAACCATTTATTCATTCAATACAAGCTATAAGTTGTGTTGGCATAAAGTTGGCAGTGTCAGCCAATCAAGTAACTGATAATGGATTTTTGTAATGTTACAGGTCTGTAGTTTGCTAATAATTTTTTGAGGGTTGCATAGAAAGAACTGTAATTTGGTGCTAATTAAGCACAAGACAATTTTTTACATGTTGTATGTTCAGCTGACCCGCTGTGCACAAATTTAGAGACTTATGGTTATGCTATTTTTTAATCTATTGTAATTAATGAATTTGAAGGGTACTAACTTAACTTAGTCTCTGAACTCATAATTGGATAAAAATTACATAGTTCCAAGAAATGTCTTATTACTAAATAATTTGGAATAAACACCCCTAAAGAAAAAGCATGGCATCCACTGTGCAAGACCCTGAATGATACAATATACAAAAAGCAGAATCAGCTTCCTCTGTGTTGACATTTATCTTGCTCAACAATGCCAAGATGAACTGGTAAGACAAAGTATGGCTACAATGCACTGGTGAAGATCATTGCTTTCAGGGTTTGGGTTAAATCCATTAGAAACTTTAAACTTAGTATTCCAGGGTCCTGATCTGTTTTTGAGCTGACAATTAGTTTTCTAGTATTTTTTTGCTTTAGGTTAGACATTTGCACTGATTTGGCCGAAAATATCCAAGGTCATGGGTATGTGTGTGAGGCCATATTGATTCCTGCAGGATATAATTCATCTTTCCAGCAGGGGTAGCACTGTAGGGTCAGGTGAACAACAGTAACCTTGGAACTGAAATGGTTTTCGCTGCCTTGCCCAAGGATATTGCAGGGCAGACACCGGGTCGCATAGCCAAACAAAAGGCATGATACCGCCATATTATTATATATTATATGTATGTTTCCATACTCACACACTTTTATATGATTTCATATGTGATCATTATATACTTTCAATGGTTTCAGTGACTGAGATTCTCCTGGTTCCCTTGTGACATTGTGAGAACACAGAAAACAAGCTACAAAATAAGTGAGCATATTGTTCAGGGTCAGTGTGTGTGTGTGTGCCATGCTCGCAGGCAGTGCTGGGACCCATGCACTACAATACTATGTTGTAGTAATGAGGCACTTGTGCCAGTGATGACAGATGAGGGCTAAAAGGGTATAGCCCTACTAACTCCACCCTGAGCTCTGGATGACCTGCCAGCTTGGCAGTCTTACTCTGCTTTTAACCATCAGAGGCTCAGCCCTTCTGGAGGCTTTGGGCTGCATTTTAAATTGGTGTCCAAACTACACACCAGAGTTCAGATGCACTATGAGTGGTCCAAAGCACTGTTTGTTTATTTTCCTCAAAAGGTAATTTATAATGGAGCTTTACATTTCCATGAGCCAGGTTACAAGATTAGAGGCATTAAACGTCAATATTAATATAATTCTATATCCTGTGAATTATTCAGGAAGCATCCTGTCTGGCTTTTGTACAGATTAAAAAAATAGGGTAATGTAAATAAAATAAAATAAAATAAAAAAATCTTTATTATTTCTTTCTTTTCTAGGGTTTTCCTTATTATATTTTTATGTTATGTTTATCTTGCCTTGACTTTTTCAGGGGTCTTACGGCTGCTACCTTGGCCAGGCCTCTCTTGTAAAGGATATTTTTGATCTCAATAGGAATTCCTGGTATAATAAAGATAGAAAAAAATATATATCTGTGTAAGCTTTTAGCTTTCTACCTCTTGTGCATAGGCAAAATTCATGTATATCTGAGTAACCTATATGTGGGTGTAAGTGTGTCTGTATATAGGTATGTGAATGTCTTTGTGTATATAACATATCTTTTACAAATGATTGTTTTTTTTTATGTGCTGGGCTGTGAGAAAGCCCCTTGATAATAAAGTCAACACAGCTGAGATAAAGAACCGAGACACATTTGGGATCAGACTTTTAATTGGACTTAAATTCACATAAATAACATTGGTTCATATATATTTAGTATATTATACAACTTTATATAATATATATTTCCCCCTATGATTTACATTCCTCTCTGGCTAAAATCATCTCTTATATCTATGGAAACAAAGCCTTGCATGAATGCAACGCTGCTCTTTTTGTGCTGTTTATCAAGGTCCAAATGCCAAAAGGAGAGGAGTGTGTTTCTCATGAGTTGTAAAAAATTATTTCCCAAGTTACACAAACAGAAAAGCAAAAAGGAGAATCTATTGCATTGTCTCTAGGGTATTACACTGCACTACAATGCGTGGGTAGCTATTGAAAATCATTCACTGTATATATTTTACTGTATTGACTTGTGACACAAAGAAAGAAAGAGCACTGCAAACTATCTGATATGCATGGCAATGAACATTTCGCGTCCGAGTGTTCTTGTCATGGTTTATTTTTTTTTGCAAAAAAGAAAAGAAAAGAGAGAATATGCTTGACACAAGATAAGAATCTCCATCATGAAGTTAAGAAAAGAGTTATGAACCTGTAGCAAGGTCACATAATCATGCAGTGACCCAGCCAAGCACACTTGCACAGATGAGTTGAGCTTGTCAGTCTGGATCACAAATCAACACATGGCCGTTTCGAGCCTATGACCGACATTATTCAACAAGATGGGTGGATATCTGAAAGTCAGGTAACATTCACTAATCTCCGTGACAGAAAGAAAATAACCCTCATACTGGTGCTCCTCCTGTGTTACCTTTGACCAGTGGATTATCTGAGGTTGCCTGTTGCGCTCAGGCAATCGATACCTCTATCAAACAATCATGACTGACGCATCACACAATTGCCCTAATTTTACTACCTTTCCATAGCTGAGAGTTTTACATCACTGGACCTCTGCTTTCAGTCATCAATAAGTAACCACGTTTTCTAGCAAATGATCAGTCTGTGTGTTGCAGGAGTACGTCATAGTCAAGTAAATCATAGCCGGTCAATACAAATGTTACATGACATTCAACATTACGTACATACCAGGTGATGTGTAAAAAGAGTGAAAACGGCCATGAGGTTTTCATGTCAAATCGAACTAGATGGTATATAAAACATCTGGTTTTTCAACACATCCTCAAGTGTCACTTTGTCACAATCCTTCCCTTCCCACAGTTTCCTGCTACACGACCTCTTAAATCTGCATAAACTATGATACATATTTGATTGTCTGAATCAGAGCCGCTACCTGAATATCAATCTAGAGTAAAACTGTCACCCACACTAGGCCTTCAAATCCAAATAAAAACTAAACAATGGATCCAGCAATTGCTGTTATTTGAATAGTGATGACAAAAAGAGTTTGAGGTCCAGTATGTTGTAAGCAAATGTGCAGGTGAGTCAGTATCTGATGAAAAACAAGAGCTGGTAGGCTATTTAAATTACCCAGTGAACCGGTGTGGGATCCTACAATGTTTCATGCATTTATCACGACAAGGCCAACTTAAGCAAAACATGATGTGTGTGTGCATGTGTGTGTGTGTTAACAAATCACAGAGGAAAACACAATCATGCCATGACATTGCGACATACAGCAAGTTAAAGTGTTAACCCCCTCCTTCCCTGAATAGTCGACAACTTGAACTTTTTTTAAAAACAGCTATTAGTTTACCATTTCATCATGATAAAAAGCGCATAAACATCATCATAATCATATCCCTTTTCTAAACAAGATAAAGTTACTATATGCTATAAAGAGAGACCTGAGGAGGGAAAGTCACTGGTTGTGTTCATAGCACAGTGAAAAAAAAAACATTTTTAACTTTACAGCAGGGGCTTCTCTTTTATTATTGAATTGCTTTTAGTGCACAGATTAGGTGTAAGCAAGACAAAATGTTAGTTTTAATAGTGGTTTATTGCAATACACTTTATTATTATAGTTATTAACATTAGGTAATCATTATGAATTATTGACCATAAATCATTATCTAAATATGAGTTAGAGAATAAGGTGATTTTCAGACGAATGAACACAACCAGCAGTAGTGCTATTTGTCACTTTCCCTCCCCATTACATCCCTGCAACATCGCTCTACTTTCATACTCATAGAGGGGAAATTGTGTTAATTAAAAAGTGCATCATGAATATGTTGAGATTAATAATAAAAGTAAACCATCTTTTTTGTCATAAATAACACTTTTTCCTCTAATATTCAATAAACCTCTTATTATACAAGTCGAGTAGTCACATGATGCAAATCTACCCCCTGTGATCTTCATATCTGGGAGCAACGTTAATACTTCCTGAAACTTGGAAGCAACGACACGGCAATACAAACAGGACTGCTGCGTCAAAAAGACTTTAGCAACGGCCACTTACAGCGACTGAGGGTACAACACATGAACAGTGACACCAGAAGATTTGTAACGCACCCTGTAGTTATGCAACACAAAAAGTCCACAGCGAGCATGTATTCGCATTAGCAAGATGATAGCATCTAGATCGTACAATAAAGTGGACTCAAGGAAGACACATCCACATTTAAAGAAATAAATTCGATGAGAAAGTTATATGAGAATATTAATGCCACTCTCATGTCTCTAGCCAGCAGGTTAGCTTAGCACTGGAAACAGCTAGCCATGCTCTGTCCAAAGTCCACCTAGTAGTGCCTTTAAAGTTCATAAACGTACACTTTGTATCTTGTTTGTTTAAACCATAAAAAAGAGAAATGTAAAATCGACATTGTTGTGGCTTTATAGGAAGAAATGTGATAGAGCTATCAGGCTGGAAACCATCCCATCCTTACGCGATGCTAAGCTAATCCAACTGCTGGCTTTGGTTTCGTATTTAGCATACTGACATGAAAGTGGTACCGATCATCAAAGTGTTGCCAAGAAAGTTGTGTCAAATCTAATTTTGTTTTTGTTAAATTTAGTAGTACATAGTTAGACATAAATATGTATGTCTGAATCTGTGTTTTATTTTTTAAATCTACCTCAGATGAGACATAGAGTAACTGCTGTTCACATGTTGTAACTTCAAACTGTAAATGGTTGAAGAGAACATTCCCTCCTTGGTCTTCTGCCCAGGGTCAAACAGAATAAATCAAAAAGGAAGACCTTAAATGGTCAAGAAAACCAGATGTCCAGCCCTGCCCTCAGTGACTCCAGGGCATCAGATGAATTTTAGGTCTACTGCTGTTTGCAGTTAACAGACCTTGTTCCCATTCACTGATGTATTTGCAAAGCATTGGATGGCTACAAACTAACAGGACTCATTTTTCCAGACTGGTGTGCATATTTCCAACACCTTCTAAATCCATAAGAAAGTAACTGGTCCACTCTTAATGCAGAGGATAGAGCAGAACTCAGTCACACTATCAATGTCTTTTAGCTCCCAATCAACCTTTCAGTCACTGGGCCTGAGTGGACTCTGCTAGGCCATTGGTAGGCCTTTCTCAGTGGCAGGTCTTCATCCCCGTCAAGTATGGTGACTCTTGTCGGCACAGGCCCATCTGCTGCTGTTGCTGCTCTTGAAGATCTGAGGCCAAACCATCGACAAAGTCAGGGACGGGTAGCCCTGAGAGTATCATGACCGACTTGTTCCAGATCATGAAAGTGGGTACAACAGGCAGGAGGAAGGAGATTTCGAAGGTGTGAATGTGCTGGGAGTTCATGGCATCATGGAAGGACAGTGAATTGTTGTCATAATCCAGCAGGACACCCAGCCGCCTCAGCTGCAGACTTGCCTCCACCAGCATCTCCTTGCCGTCATGGCGCACCATAAAGTTGTTGTTGCAGCGCGAGAACACCCATGAGGATGAGTTCTTGCCACTCCATTCGTTTTTCGGGGCTGATTTGTAAGCCACGCCGATGGCATACCTGCAGGGAGGGAACATTTTGGAATGCATTAGTGATCTAAAAAACAGTGTCCTTCTTAATGACTTTACTTGCACAGTCAAGCTACCTCATGCTGAGGACACACAAGATAGGCACGGGCCCTTTGGGTCTTTCCTGCATGAAGAAGTCTACTTCAGAGCCAATTAGTGAAAAGAATATAAATAGGATAAGAGTATACACTGTGTGTGGCGAGTGCGTGTCTGTTGTGTGAGGGTTTGCATAACAGCCTAGATTTAAACTCCCTACAGAAAGATATTTTGGTTTATCAAGCCTCCTTGAAGGCTTATATAATGCAATCTTGTGCATTCGTGTTTCTTACCATGTGGATGCTCCCAGTAGAACCTCCCAGTAGTGGCAACCGCTGTCAATGAAGACATTACCAGCAGCGCCATAGGAGCCCGTTCCGCTGAACCGCTCCGGTGTGTGGCTCTTCTTCAGCGAGCTCTCATCCTTCTCCATGGTCAGACAGTCGTTGGACAGACGCAGCTTCTTGTGGGCCGTCTTTGGGTCCAACTTAAAGGGTTGACCTGGAAAGAGACAACATTTTGTGCTTTAAATTGTCTATTACTGTGTTTTGGCAGCTAATGTTGCTAATGATAATGACCATAATCATCATTATCACTAACATCATTATCATCTTCATTTTTTTTATGCAATATAGCAATCTATCTTAAACATGATGCGACATGGTGGAAAATCATTCAAAATAACTAAATTGAAAATAATATAAGAAATACAATAATAAAACTCCCCCTACACTCAAAATATCTGCTTGTTTTTACAATTGCATGTTTGAGCTTTTAAGGGGAGGGGCCTACAGGCATAATATGCGACATCCAACATCTGGTCCAGTATGCAACTTATACAAGGGTGATGTAGAAACTTCAAACCACCAGTGCACATACACAGAGAATTGACTTTACAGTGAAGTAGGAGATATCTTTGACTTAAAAAAAGGACCAATTTGCATCTTTATAGATTCAGGAATATTTAATGCTGTAGAGGGAGTAGATGCCTTTCTAAGACGCACTGTTGCTGATTATTTGTATATACACTCTCTCTTAATACATGTCTATGGATCTTTAAGGTAATCAATCAAAGATCACAAGCAATTTTTCACTCTTTTCTATCATGTTTGATAGATGTCTGCCCTTTTGTTCATGTCTGAATATTATGAGAAACTCACACTACACAAAAGGGCAGCAACTGAAAGCAGTCATTATGTAACTTTAAGCTCCTCAAAGCTTTAAGTTCTGTTTTCATTGTTTTATTTTACAGATTATAGCTGCAGTGTAAAAAAAGAATTGTTAGCAACAAACCCAATAACAAACACTACAAAATGTCAAAATTTAGTTTTTGCTTATAAATCGGAGGCAAAATTAGAATATTTGTCTCTTAGTCACAGTGATGGAGTTCCTAATTCACCTAAGAAAATAACAAAAATCATGTTGTACACCCTCTAGTCCACAGGAAAGAAAGCATACAGTTTCCTATATACACTTCCAACATAACTTACAACTAACAAAACATTCATTTGAAGTCGTGTTTCTGGACACGGATAAATGCAATATTCCTCCTCCTTTTTTTTAGCCAGCTGCTGGGCAGGTAGCATACAGAGTTTATCAGAGCTTTTTCCCTGAAAACAGCTACCTGCTGTGGCTGGAAATTGGGTGGGTTGATGAGCGTGAGAGTAAATCAAAACAATAAAGTCGCGGGCTGTAAAATCAAAACAATGAGCTGAAATACACTAAAGTGCTCTGTAGAGCTGAGGGGAGCTGCAGAGTTGGCTGATGATTCTCTGTGCATTCATCACTACAAGAAACTCTTTTCACATTATGCATTTGATCAATTGTTCTTGCTTATTTTGTGTTTGGAAAAAGGCAGAAGATATCACAACATCAGAAGGTGAAAAAGATGCGAGTAAGAATAAAAACTAGAGCAAAATTTTAACTTAGAGCAGCAGCAAAAGAAGATAATAAATAGAAAGCGGGGTTGAGAAGTACTCAAAGAGAACTCACAGGGAGAGACAGAAGAGGAGAATGTTTGAAATACGAGGGCGAGAGTCTAAACTTCAAAGCCTCTCACAGCCTTTGGTGAAAATATTTCATAACAGTGGAGGAAGCCACCCGGCATTCTCCTCTTTGCCTCCCATCACACAGACTTGGAAATTAGCTGAAGGAAATAGCCTTCACTTCCACTGCAGTAGGTAGGGGTCTGGGCTATTCAGTGGAAATGCTGCTATCCGGTTGCAACAATTCAATTTGCAATGACACCAGTAATTTGGGTGTAATAGGTGGAAAATTGAGAAGGTAAAACTAGGTGACTGGCAGAGAGAGAGAGAGAGAGTTAAGGAGTCAGGAGGAGAGGAGAAGTTGAGGGGATAATATGAGGCAAAAAATTCGGCAGAGGATCCCCCTCTCTCTACCTCTCTATGTGCATGTATGTATGTGTGAGTGTGTGTGAGTAGGCTTCATGGAGGTCAGCCACGTCCCTTCCAGACCTGACATTTAACTCTGACACCTCTCATCTCATCTCTCAGCCTCCCTGAGCCTCCCACGGCTTAATGAGCAACACAATGAGGACCTCCTCCCCTCTCTCTATCTGTCCTTTCCTTCATCTCTCTTCCCCCATTCTCATTCTCATCCTCTCTATCCTCTCTCCCCTCTCACACACTCCCCTCCAATAATCCGTGTGGTGAGTGTGTGTTACCGCGTGTGGATATGAGACGATGAGGCCAATGTGCTGCTGGCAGCCAATTACATTAATGCGCTCTCTTCTTTGAACTGCTTATCGCTGCCAGCGCAGCCATTTCCAAACACTGGGGCTCTGTCATGCCTTTCCAGGGGATGACTCCTGAGAGCCCGGGCTGGGCCTGAGGTTGGGGAAGGGGAGACGCACGTGACGGTAGAGGACAAGCAGACACACAACTCCGGCCTATACACAAGCAGACATACATCGAGTGGCCAAGTGGAAATGTTTTGAACCAACGCCAGCAGGATTCTTGTAAATGGAAAAAGTCATGCATAATAAGCTTGGGTTTAAATGGTGAATTCTTCATATGTGAGAATAAATGTGTATGCAGGATACTCCAAATAAAAACGGAATTTGGAGGTTTACACATGCAAAATGGCAGGTGTACTACTAAAACAACTGTTGCACAACTGTTTTAACTGCCATAGTGTTGGCTGATTGGCAAAGTGTACTGTTCCTAATTTTCTTACAGCCACAAATGCATCATTGTCTCCAACTGGTGTGTTGTGAACAGCTTATATACATTTTTAAGTGTAATTTTGACTTCCTGTTTTGAGGAACCTGCAAGCCATGTCTACACCCAAAATGAGCCACAAGCTCAATGGTGGAGAGTATTGTACTATGTAATATTTTGAAGTACTAGTATTTTGTTTCGTGTATTTTAATTTTATGCTACTTCATACTTTATACTTTTAATTTATACTTTCACTTAATTAAAGAATCTGAGTCCTTTTTCCACCACTGAAGATCATTCATGTTGTAGAGTCGCCATTAAATTAATAGACCTGAAGTATAGTGGTAGTGGGAGTATATATATATTTAAATATATAGTGCTATTTGCTAGCAGCACTCAGAGAACATGCCAAATGTGATTTCTTCCGGAGTGCTCAGTGCCGGCCTAAAGGCGCAAGGAACACTCACTGTGTGGGGTTTAATATATCAGCAAGAAATTTCAAAATAAGAAAGTAAATGCACATGTCTAAGTAAAGTTCAAAAAGAAAAATATTTTCACAAACACACACACACACACACATAAAATGAAAAAAATAGGGATGACACTAACACACTCTCATTCTGTCAGATTCAAAATTACAAGAAATAAAAACAAGACAGGAAAATGGAAGAAACTGGACTTCTTAGCACTGTCTGTGATTAGTCAGCTCCCTCTCTGTAATACAGAAGTAATTAGAGATGTTTCCAACTGTCTGCTGAGGTGATAACTGCTCTCTGATGACTGCCTTGAGCTGTGCATTGTTATGAAGTGGGAAGTCTTTAATGGAAACTTGTAAAACACAAAAAAAGTTACAGTATCAAGGGAAAAAGAGGAGAGAAATTAAAAGGGCTACTACTGAGGGAGCATTTATAAAAAGCAATTTCATTCCAACTTCATTTTCCTGGGTCCTTGTTGAAATACTTGCAGTGGGATAGCATCTGGATAATCGACTTTATTTCAATTCAGTCAATTTCACTCTTCTTCTTTTTTTTTTTCTTTTTTTTTTCCTGGCTCACATTTTTGCTGAGGGATAGATTGAGCTACCATTGTAATGAGGGAGATTGAAAAAAAAAAGATTCATTTCACTGCATAACTAAACAATTACTGCATAAAGAGCAGGATCAGGGACACAGAGAGCTCTCTAGACACATGAGAGGTTGAACACAAGCGTATATCTTTTCAAATCACTGCATGTCATTAAAATGTATGGCTGCATGCCACTTGGTTCCTAATTGACTGATCCATATGTAATGTGGTATGTAATCCAACAGTGCTGACTACTAAGACACAAGATATACACTCTTGAGTAGGAATGTATTGATATATTGCGATATATACTCTCACACCTGCGTCAGTAGCTGCAACAAGGCACAAGCCGCAGATGAAGACTACTATCATATCCTGTTTAAAATTGGAGGTGTCGCAGCTTTTTGGCTTCCCTAAGCCAGAAAAAATAACAGACAAGACATGGCAATACATATGAGGCCGTGTTCTGTAGTCGACAGCGGAAACCTCAGAATAAAATGATTATTTAATTTGATAAAGAACATAATAAAAAGACAAATAAAAGAGAGAAATAAAGTAATCTTTTCCAGTCATAATTTGTTTTCAATCTCATATTGGAAAAGAAAATAATTTTGTGAACCTAGTAATGTGAATTGTACGTTACATCCCTACTGATTACATTAAAGATGGATCAATCGTGTAACATGGCTGGGGATGTAAAATAGCAAAGCAGGTGTATGAGATGCATAGCAGGAGGTTCACGTGCATCAGATCTGGTCTTTTCAGCTCTTACTGGGCAATTTGTGGCTCTTTCTGCTCAACTTCTACAAAAACTGAAAATATCTTTGTTAAGTGGAGAGCAAACAGAAGACAGAAGACAAACAGAAGTGAGTGATGTTCTCCAACTTCACCCTTTAATGAACTCAGCAGAGTCCACAGAGACCAGTGCTAGAAAAATCATTTTCAGTAAGGCTTTTGCTTAGAATTCTGCTGTGATTAAGAAGCCGTTTTCCAAAAGAAAGTTTCTGTGTTGGTTCACTTCAGTAAAAGCACGTGTAAGAACCATTGTACTATTGGCTGTGTGTGTAAGATAATCATTCATTAAAACTCAGATCCCGTCTTAATGATACAAGTCTTCTTTACTCCTGTATCAAGGCACATGCACTCATTGAGTTACACCAACCCCCCATTGTCGAGGTGTGATGTGCTGTGCTTTCAGAGCTCAAATTCAGTCTGTTGGCCGTCTTAAAGAAAAAACCCTCTGCCATTTTAACGCAC